GTATCAAACGTGGGCCACTTTCATTGGCTGGGCAGGGATGACATCACTTGCATGCGCTGGTGTTTTGTCTATTGTAGCATGTTGAGCTAACAGGCAACATCCAAGTCAATAGGGCTGCACTGCAACCGTGAGGAAAAACTTTTGGCTTGCAGTTGTGGTGCATTGTCCCCACTATAAACTGTTGTCCCCCCCCCCCCCCCCCAAAAAAAAAACCCCAAAACACAGGCATTCAGGATGTAGCAGGATCACCTCCTGAATGCCTTACCTTAGCCACACTCTAAAAAGCAATCCACTGCAGATTGCTTTTCACAGCATTGTCTAGTGTGAACCTGGACAGATAACATTCACTGTAAGGCCACCTATATTGCTGTCTTTTAACATGGTGACAGTAAGCTTACACCTGTACTGCACATATTGAAGGTTACTCTCGCCCTGTTTAAATGACTACAATATTAGTGCCATTACAGTGACTGATATTATCAAGGGAGAGAGGGGCACAGACTATGCATTGTATAGGCATATCTAGCCACTTCCAAATTCCACTGGGGCAAAACACAATTTTTGCTACTTCTGCCTCACTTTATCATTGCAGGAGCTTCTTTGCAGAACCGCTCCATCCAACAACACAGGAAGCCCACGAGACAACTTGTAGCAGTGATGGACACTGCACCCTGTGTGTCCATTGGCTGGGAAGGCAGTGCAGCCCGCCTCCAGGTGCCTCCTCAGCCAATTTGTAGCTGAAGTCCCTCCCTCTTACATTATTACATTACATTACATCGAGTTTATATAGCGCCAAAGGGTTTGCTCAGCGCTGTACAATAGAGGGGGGGACAATACATATTACAGCAACTACAAACAGCACACGAGGGGTTATAGGGCCCTACTCTTTCGAGCTTACAATCTAGGAGGGAGGGGGTAGTGGTACAGGAGGAAGTGGCTGTGGGGGATGGAGTGGTAGGAGGAATGAAGGAGAGCAGCAGTTAGGTGAGGGTGGGGTAGGCTTCCCTGAAGAGGTGGGTTTTCAGGGAGCGCCTGAAGGTGAGGAGGGAAGGTGACAGTCTGATGGGTTGGGGTAGTGAGTTCCAGAGGTTCCCTCTTAACACCTCCCCCCCGATCTTCCGAGTCCCAGCGCAGTTGTCTAGCTTACTATGCACACAGGTCAGGGGGGCATGTATTTTAATACCAGACAAGACAGTGGCAACCCATACGTCCTTCCCCCCCCCCCCCACACACACGTTATGGCACCAGGGCTCAGGAAGGGGGGAGATGATGGCTTTTGGGGGGGGACAACTAAAATTGGGGGAGGGCCCAGCCCATCTAAGCACCCCCTTGGATCCGACCATGAAAGCAACCTTGTATTCAGGGACTTAATCTGCTTGAATTTTAAAAACACAACTTGGTATCAGACTCTTACAATCCACTATACAGCAAAGCTTAAATAAGGAGAGGGAGAAGAAGCCAAAAAGGCTAATCTAGTTGTTTGCTGATAGAAGAGATACAGTAAGAATGACAGAGAGGTAAGCTCATCCGTCTTCTGCTTCTCCTTTCACTGTGCAGCCACAGGTTGGAGAAGGGATTAGACTTGTATGAGCTATTTAACTGCAGAGATGAAAAATCGCATCATCTGTCCTGTCAGAAAGGGTTGTGCTATGTGGCAATCCTGTGTAAAACTCAGGACTGAATGGATAGAAATATATACTTTTTTTTTTTTGGCAGGTAAAACAGCTCTCTGGAGTCTAGCTTTAACTTCTCAAACTATTGACAGGCCGTATCAGTAAACTCTAGAAAAAATATAAAATTGAAGAAATATCTGCTCTAGTACATTCTAGGCATTGGTTAAATGCTGGGAAAAGTCTATAAATATAGCAGGGATGTATGTTGAAAAATAAATGCAGTTTACACTCCTTTTTGTTCTTTTACTGTATAAACTCAAAAGTCCCGGTTTGACTTGAACGCCCCTTGTCTAAATATATTTTTAGTTCTTTTACATATATTTTGTACCAATTGCACTTTGACACATAGTTATTCATTTTTTTGTCACAACTTTAATAGGCAAAACTGTTGCTGCATATTGCTTCATATTTCTAAATAAAATATATTATCCCTCGTGCATACAGGACATTTTGCAAACTCTTCTAGAGCCTCTTCTTCTGGCAGCAGCGTTTTGGCAGAAAAAACATTTGACACTTGTAAATGTGTGTTAACTTACACATCAAGCTCTTGGGCGTTAATTCATTTCGTTGGCCAGAATGATAATTTATTCTGGCCATTGAAATGAATTACTGCTCAAGCGCTAACTGCGCCTAGTGTTCTTGAGCATTTAGGTGCATTTACAGACCTCAAGCGTTATTTTTTCCTGCCAAAATGCCACTGCTCCTGAATACACTGGCAATGTTTTTTTTGCCTCTTAACTCTTCTAAAAGCCTATGTCTGTATAGATACATAGGCTTACTTGCTGTGGTGTTTAAAAGTAGAAAAAAAAAAACGTAAGATGTCCCTAAAAGCAGCTGAAAAAATGTCCAGTGTGCACGAGGCCTGTAATAAAAAACTTTAATACTTGCCTATTCCATCACCTCTACTTCCAATCTTTGCAGAAATGCAGACTCCGCTAGAATTTCCAACTTTTGATGCACGTCAAGTGTATCAGATGGTGGAGATTCTAGAAGAAGCTGTAGTTCCCTTTGTACAGCTGGGAATTTCCAGCAAAAACCATGAGGTAAGCAGCAGGTTGAGAGGGCTGGGTGCTTTATGTACATCCTGTGCACTTGTGAAGGTGGGTTGAATATCCCTAAACTTGGAGAGACCGGGACAGGAAATTATTCCTTCACGAGAACTAATGCATCCAAAGTTGTACTTTTGCAGAGTTTGTAAAAGTGAGCATGATTGTGGGACTTTAAGGAAATGTCTGAATGTGTGTATGTTGTTACAACAATTTTTTTGCCTAAGACTGACTGACTGATTTGCCTTCCAGGTGGGCCACCAATACTTGGCAGTCAGCTAATAAAGCTTTATCAGTAAGACACAGCCAGGAGCTTGTGGACCCTTGCTTTCACACCTACCTATATAGTATAGGCAAAAGGATCCTATTAATGCTACAGCTTACAAAGATAATTTTAAACAGCTGTGCGCTTTCCACCTCCTCCTACTAGCTTGGAGAAGGCCCTATTCTGTTTCAGCATGACTGTGCCCGTGTGCACAGAGCCAGCACCATAAAGGCATGGTTTGAAGAGTTTGATGTAGAGGAACTCAAATGGTCCCTAATCTCAACCTTGTTAAACACCTTTCAAAACCATGCAACTCACCAGTCGCAAGCCAGGTCTTCTCATCCACCATCAATACCTGACTAAATGACAACAGATTCCCACAGACACACACACAAATCTTGTAGAGATCCGTCTCAGAAGAATTGTAAGCTCCACGAGCAGGGCCCTCCTATTCCTTCTGTACTGAAATGTATTGTAATTGTACTGTCTCCCTTATATTGTAAAGCACAGTGCAAACTGTTGGCGCTATATAAATCTTGTATAATAATAATAACAATAATAATAATTGAGGCTGTTGCACATGCTATTGGAATGGGTTCTTTAACAGGTAAATGTAGGAGTGATGGTCCAGTGTCCACAAACCTTTGGCCATATCATGTATGTTTATATCACCTGCTGTTTATTATCATTGAAAGACCACTATGCTTTGTTCAACCACTTCAGACTTTAAACTAATTCCAGCCAAAAGATTTTTTTTTTCTAGTTTAGTTTTCAGTCAGAACAAGTCTGTGTCCCATTTGGGAGATTCCTCCTGAACTTCTGTCTATAATATGATAGATGTGAGACAAAAGGAAGGGAAAGAAAAAAGTTCCTCATGGAAACTCATACAACCATAAAAAATTGTTTTCTGGTAACTTGAAATGTCACTGGCCCTACTGGGAACATTATTATTATTATTATTATTATTATACAGGATTTATAAAGCGCCAACAGTTTGCTCAGCACTTTACAAAATAAAGGGAGACCATACAGCAGCAATACAGTTCAATACAAGAGGGTTAGGAGGACCCTGCTCCTTGGAGCTTACAATCTAAGAGGAAGTGGCTGCTGGTCCAAACGGTAATAACTGTGGGGGATGGACTGGTAGAAGGAATAGAAGATAACATTATTAGCTGAAGGCAGGATAGGCTTCTCGGAAGAGAGGTTTTCAGAGATCGCCTAAAAGTGGGCAGAGTAGGCGATAGTCTGATAGATTGGGGTAGAGAGTTCCAGAGGATGGGGGAGGCTCTGGAGAAGTCCTGGAGACGAGCATGGGAGGAGGAGACAAGGTCTCTCCTCATTTGCTAGATGTAGGAGGATGTAAGAACAAGAAGTGAGGAGAAATGTCCTTAATGGTTGCACAGACAGAATTTAACTCCCCCCCCGACACACACACACACACACACACACACACACACACACACACACACACACTTACTTTCCTGGATGTGTCATATGCTTAAGAGTCCTATGGAAACTGCAGCACTAGAACAGAGGGAAAGTAAGAGACAGGCACTGCCAGAAAAGTGAGTATTAGAGCTTTTGGGTTCTTTTTGACAGGGTGGTATTCAGGTTACTGGGGTGCTTTCTGAAGTGTGTGTACTATGGTACTGTCATTAGTGGTATTGTCATTTTTAAGGCAGGTTTCAGAATCTCTCAGTCTCAGAACTGCCTTTTTGGGAGGATATACACTACTTAGTCATAGATACAACAGGGAACATTTGTATGTTGTTGTATAGGTACATTTGCACATTTTGGAGGACAAGTAGTCCTGTTTGAGGGGTTATTTTTAGTATTGTTGTGAACACTAATTTTGGAAAACACCATCTTTAAATGAAGCATTGACCATGACAACAACTGAATAAGGACCTGATCCTCATAATTTTCTCTCCATACAGCTATAACACCCCACAGCTCTTCAGTTCCTGCAGTCTTACAAACTTTCAGGAGTTCATTTTCAACCAGATGCCAGCGTGTATGAAAAGTGAGCCAATAAAAGAATATATTCAGTCCCCTTCTGTGTGTGGCAACAAATTCACTGAGATAGGGGAGGACTGTGACTGTGGTACTGTAGAGGTAATTATCTGATAGAATATCTGATTAGAAATGATCAGCAAAAGTTTACCTATGTATAATGACCCAATGTCTGACACAATTGACCATCTTCTTTCTAAATTTCTATGCCTTATAAAGTCCATAGAAAGTTGATTTTTTTTTTTTTTTTGGGATAAGTCTTTTAAAAAGTCTGCCACATCCTTTTTTTTTTTTTTTCTTTTTTGGTCTTTAAAAATCAGAGGATTGCACTTTTGATAGTTAATTGTTTAAAATCTTTAAATACCCATCTGTTAGTATTTCCCATGATCACTATATTCTTCCTTTTTTATATGACAAAAATCATATGGCACAAAAGCAGCAGGCGTAGGGTAGACCACAAATTTGGTTAACCTAGATCTGTACTGCCTGTTTGTGACTGCCTAGGGGTCTGCAAATATGTTAATCGCTAGGGAGAAGTGTAAGTGTTTTAGCTTTGGTTATATTTATGTATTGCTGACTTTTTTGCAGGAATGCACCAACCCTTGCTGTGATGCTGAGACCTGCAAATTCAAAAACAAAGCCCAATGTGCAGTTGGAGAATGTTGTGAGAACTGTAAAGTAAGTGGAATATAGAGAACTGGAAAATGTAATACAATAAATCCTTCCATTTACATTGTGCAGTTAGCACCAATAGCACTATTGGCCCCATTTGCTTGTACTGTGCCATTCCTTGAGTACACGTTTCCCAGATTTCATTGTCATATTTTCCTGGCTGATAGTGTAAAGGTCGATTTTACTGGTTGCACCATTTCGTTTTCTGCACCTTTAAACAGATACATTGGGATTGATTTAGTAAAGGCAAATACATTGTGCACTTTTCAAGTCTAGTTACACTAATTTTCCTTAGTAATTATAATGTGGTAAAGCTTCACTTTGTAAAGAATACCCAATCAGGTGTAAGGAAAATTTTTGCTTGCACATGATTGGATGTTGGAAATCAGCAGAAGTTTACGGAATTTACTAACTCTAGGGAAAATAAGCGCAACAGAACCTGCAAAGTGCACAGTCTTTTTGCCTTTAGTAAAGTCACCCCATTGCTATTGAAAGCAACAACTGAAACTGTTCCTTTTAATCTTTGCTTTCCATGCAAGTGTTTTTTTTTCTTTTTCTTTTTTTTACATGTTAACTAGAAAAAGTGTACCAACTCGTTGAAGGGGTTATAACTGCGGTGGCAGAGAGCACTGTAATGTGCATTCGTATAGGGGTGGCAAGGGCTGGGCATGCATTGGTGTAGTGGCAGCAAGTGCAGTGGCAGGTGTTGGTGCACTGGTGAGTGAAGTAGGGGCATTTAGGAAAGGTGGCAGGAGCAAGGCAGAAGGGTGGGGGTTAGACACAATGGTGAAAGTGGGGCTTGGTGAACAGGCGTGGTGTGGCTTAGAAGCATGCATAATAGTGACATAATGTTATTACCTTCCTGACACTACTGTACATGTGCCAGTTATTGGCACCATTTTGGGTTATCCCAAAGACTATGCTACCCCCAGAATGGTCCTGGCATTTTGTGACTGTGCTGCTGATCTCCTCTAGCCTACAGTGGACTTTTAGATACTGGCAATCAGCTGCTGACCTCCTCTAACCTTCAGCTGGCTCCTACATATCATATGATCAACCAAATAGAGCTGCATCTCCTTGCCATCCAGCAGTTCTACCACTCCACACTGCTCCACATCTGATTCTGCACCTGCCAGCACTCCAGGAAACTACATCCTAACACCCCAGACACTGCACTGTTCTGCCAGCTAGAAACTGCTACTGCATGGTGCACCACTGATTCACCTATACCTGCTCCTCCCTTGCCACCTTAGTAGGGATGAGCCTGTAGATTCTGAGGTGTCTGCCCACTTCCTTCTCCTCTGCCCACTTCCTTCTCCCTCTGGTGACATCGCCTCCTCCCCAGTGCCACCTATATAGACCTTTTTAGTCCACTGGCCTCTGTTAGTGCTTTTTTTCAAGAAACCACTTTAACTTCCTAGGACAGCTCAATTAAACCAGGCCAAACCAAGTCCCATAGTGAGAGGCCAATTTCAGGGTATTATACTGTAGGTGCTACAACAGCTTGATGAGTCAGATCCATCCACATTGGTATTTTGGGCTCTCTGTAGAGCTGAGTACTTGTCAAGCTATAATGACGAGAGAAGGAGATATGGGAAAGCTGGAAGTTGTATTCTCATTTGCATATTTTATTAAGAGGGAAGTTCTAGTTTTTGACACGTTTGTTCAAAAATGATCAAAGGGGGATACAAAATTGTAGCTGTCTTTGCAACAAATCTTTGGCTGGCATAGCTATGAATAAAATTGTCATTCTCCTTTTCTTTCAAAATCATGTTATCCCCTGCCCTCTCTCGTCTCCTTGCAGATCAAGAAAGCAGGGACTGTGTGCAGACCTATGAAAGATGATTGTGACCTTGCAGATATGTGTGATGGGAAGAATCCAGAATGTCCATCCGATCGCTTCATTTTTAATGGACATCCCTGCAATGATGGCCAAGGTTACTGTTACAATGGGAAGTGCCCGAGTTTGGAAGACCAATGCATGGACCTGTGGGGAGCAGGCAAGTGAACCTTTAATTTTTTTTAAATATATAATTTATTTATTTATTTGTGTTAGAGCACATATTGTTGGCTGATTGTGGTGATCTTTAACTGATTGTTGATTACAAAACCTAGCAGATTCATAGAGGATTTTTTGGGAGGAAGTATTTAGAGAACAGTAATTTTGTTAATTGATCATTTGACAGTGATTTAACAGCTGAGCAACAGTATATTCTATGTTCTGTATTGTGACAGCAGGTGTCATCAAATCTTTATCAAAACCACTTACTATAAAAAAAAAAACTCTTTGGGGTCTATTTATAAAATGCCATGGGAGAAAATGGTATTTTAATGTGCCATACAGAGCGAACAAAACATAACAAATGTATTCATAACCTCACAGAATCTGATTCCTAAAAAGTACATGTGATTATCCCAGGTTAAAAACATTTCTGACAGCACAGTCAATGGAGTGAATATGCAGTTATCCAAAACTGGCGTGTAGGATCGACGCATTTCACAGTTGCAACTTGTGAATGAATTTACCACAAAACACAAACAACCCACTATACTATACTCACAAAAATTATATATTCCCCACAAGCTGGGATATATGAATAAACTGGGGTTAAATCTGTCTCTCGCCCCCCCCCCCCCCCCCCATGGTCACGACTACATTGAGCTAAGGCTTGCCTCTCTGATGGACCGCTCCCCCAACGTGAAGTATGTCCCAACTGACGAAGTGACATCATCCACAAGCCTGCACAACCTGAGACCAGAGGTGATGTTGGGACTTGCCCTGCATGTCCTCTATCCTTTTCTGTGTGGGTACGGCACAAGAGGATTCACCATCTTAACCCAATGAAACAAAACATTGCCACCTCTTGGATGAATATCATATCACAATCCTAACTCCTGAAAGTGCATCCTAATCATCAACAAAAAAAAGAGAACCAGCATCAACAATACTTTTTATCAAGAATAAAAGATGGGGCAACAAGGGGTACACAGGCAGCTATCTAACAAACCAAACTAACAGACCAAAAGTCACACCAATTATTGGAAAAAAAAAAATCCTGTTTTAATTGTCAAACAGCTATATGTTCCAGCTCCTGGGCGTTACATAGAGGTTACATAAAAACAATATACACTCACCGGCCACTTTATTAGGTGCACCTTGCTAGAACCAGGTTGGACCCCCTTTTGCCTTCAGAATTGCCTTAATTATTCATGGCATGGATTCACCAAAGTGTTCAAAACATTCCTCAGAAATTTTGATCCATGTTAACACAATAGCAACATGCAGTTGCTGTAGATTTGTCGGCTACACATCCATGATGCAAATCTCCCGTTCCACCACATCCCAAAGGTGCTCTATTTTATTGAAACCTGGTGACTGTGGAGGCCATTGCAGTACAGTGAACTCATTGTCATGTTCAAGAAACCAGTTTGAAACGATTTGAGCTTTGTGACATGGTGCATTATCCTGCTGGAAGTAGCAATCAGAAGATGGGTACACTATAGTCATAAAGGGATGGGCATGGTCAGCAACAATACTCAGGTAGGCCATGGCATTTAAACAATGCTCAATTGGTACTAAGGGGCCCAAAGTATGCCAAGAAAATATCCCCAAACATTACATTACACCACCACCACCAGCCTGAACTGTTGACAAGGCAGGATGGATCCATGCTTTCATGTTTATCACAAATTCTGACCCTACTATCTGAATGTTGTTGCTGAAATCGAGACTCATCAGACCAGGAAATGTTTTTCCAATCTTCTATTGTTCAATTTTGGTGAGCCTGTGTGCGAATTGTAGCCTCCGTTTCCTGTTCTTAGCTGACAGGAGTGGCACCCAGTGTGGTTTCTGCTGCTGTAGCCTATCTGCTTCAAGGTTTGATGTGTTGTGCCTTCAGAGATGTTTTTTGCATACCTTGCTTGTAACAAGTGGTTATTTGAGTTATTGTTGTGTTTCTATCATCTCGAACCTGTCTGCCCATTCTCCTCTGACCTCTATCATCAACATTTTCGTCTACGCAACTGCCGCTCACTGGATATTTCTCTCTTTTGGACCATTCTCTGCAAAACCTAGAGATGGTTGTGTATGAAAATCCCAGTAGATCAGCAGTTTTTTTTAAATACTTAGACCTGCCTGTCTGGCACCAACAACCATGCAACGTTCAAAGTCACTTAAATCCCCTTTCTTCCCCTTTCTGATGCTCGGTTTGAAATTTCAGCAAGTTGTCATCACCAAATCTATATTTCTAATGCACTGAGTTTTTGCTATATGATGAGCAATTTGTGTTACCAAGCAATTGAACAGGTGTACCTAATAAAGAGGCCAGTGAATGTATATATACACAAGACCAATCACCAAAATGAATAGTAATAAACAAAACCCCATATGTGAACCAATATTGGGGTACACAATCAGATGCACAACCCACATGCATGGTGCATCCATCCAATGACTAAAAATGCTAGTTCAGATGCCTGGTGTGCCAACCACGCTAAACCATTGGTTAGAAGAGTGGATAAAACTCAATTGTTCAGCCCTGGGCTTCTGAAGGCTTTTACATTTGTATATCCATCTACTTTCAGTTTGCAATATAGCTTTGTCAAAATCACTTCCCCTTTGATGGGGGTGTATTCTGTCCAATGCCAAAAAGTAGAGGCCTGACATCTTATATCCATGATTTTTTTTGCAAAAAGAGGGGCGACTGGACTAGCCAAGTCCCCATTTGTGATGTTAATTACGTGGTTTTGTATTCCTTGCCAAAACTTATGTTTTGTTTTTCCAATCTAAAAGGTGTTAAGTGGACATCTTAACATACAGTACATACAATGCCAATTGTTTGACAGCTGACAAAGTGTTTTGGTTTAAATCTATCCCCATTAGGTAAGATATATAGATTCTATCTATCAGTAAATTTGCTAAACTTACAATTCCCACATGGGAAGCTCCCAAAAGGTAGAGAACTACACAGATGTTTTTACTACATGTTATCTCTGTATGGCCTATTAAAATTCCAAAAGCAAACAATACAATGATTTTCATTTTAGCCCCTATTCACCCATATGCGAATTGTCAAGCGATTTCACAGTTCAAAATCACGTGAACAGTCACACCCTATTTGTGCCTTTGGATCTATTCAAATCAGTGTGACTCCAACTTTGTGATGCGGCACCAATTTTGAAAAATGGTTCCTATGCACTATTTTTGGCGATTTTCATGTGCAACTTGCATAGACATCTGTGCATGAAGTAGAACAGATGTCCGGTAAGCCTCGCATGAAATCGCACTGACCAGTGGCTTTGAAATCACGTTACTTCAAGTAAAGTAGAGCAGTTTCAAAACCACGTTTAGGGTGATCAGTTTCAAAACCACATTTAGGGTGATCAAGGGCTTAAAGCTGGAAAGAAAATTGAATCATATCTTCACTGAGTTCCTTTTGAGATTTGCATCTACAGCTGCTTTTCTATTCTTAATACAGCTGATTTTCTATTGTCATTGATGATCAATTGACCTCTTTCCTTAGGTGCTTCAGTAGGACAGGACTCTTGTTTTAGGCACAATATAAGAGGTACCAACTTTGGATACTGCCAGTACATCGCCAATAACTATGTTCCATGCGGGGAAAAGTGAGTACTCCATTTCAATTTTACCATATACATAGCCTGTGCTGAAACCATTGTAGAGGTTGCTATGGCTATCCTGACCACCTTCTGAAGATGATTGCTGCCTGTTTGTCTGAGGTTCACGACCACATTGCAGCAAGTTAAGTCAGAACTCCTGATCTGCTTAATTGTTCCAGTTAGTGACTCAACTTAGTGAAGCTACTGGATCAACAGGACAGAACTTTTTGGATAGGTTCACATTTGTGTGGGTGGTGCCGCTGTGGGGCCCACACAATTACCGGCAGCTGCAACCACCCACACACAGAAATTCTGGTCCTGCAGGCGGGTGCCATTAATCCTAAGGCTGCTTTCACACCTGTGTGGCCATGCGGGCTGCACTTTGTGTGGGTATGAAAGCCCATTCATTTGAATGGGCTGCTGTGCCCCAGGACATGCAGAAAAGAAGTTCTGCACTATTTTTTAAAATGCAGCCCACACAGGAACTGAGGTTCCCATAATGTTAGCGATTTCCAGTGCGGGCGGCATGCCATTAAGATTAATGGCATGCACCCATGGATCCGGCATTTTTGTGTTGGTGGTTGCCACTGCCGGTATTTTTTGTGGGTTCTGCAGCAGCACCACCTGCACAGATGTGAACCTGGAAATCGCAACCATACTGGGAACCAGGGGCGGACTGACCATTTGGAAACTCGGGCACTGCCCGAGGGCCTGGGGTCAGTAGGGGGCCCCATTAGATGCCCCTGGTACCTTTTTTTTTTTTTTTTTTTTTTTCATAGGCTTTTTTGAGTTTGAGCAAGGACACAGGGGCCCCATGATTTCCTATTGCCCAGGGCCCTATGAGTTGTCAGTCCACCCCTGCTGGGAATCTCAGTTTCCGTGCAGGCTGAGATTTCAAAAATAGTGCATTTTTTTTATTCTGCTATTACCAATATAAAACCTTAAGGGGGGAAAACTTACATTTTACGGCACGCACAGATAAGTACCACTGTACTTGTAGTTGAGTGGAAGGGGTATATAAGCTATTTAGGTGAACAACGCTTGCAGCCAATATTTCTTTTAGTGCTTTAGGGGCCTATTGAAAGCAAAGAGTGTGTATATCCTTATTAACTCTATATTATACTCTTCTGCAAGCCAAATTATTCAGCCCATTTATAAAATGCAAGCTGTAGCATGAACCCTACGTGTCCCAATAAGTTCTCTGCTTATTGCTGTAGATTGTGATTGGAGGAGAGGCAGAAGTGTGAATTTAAGCCTGGGTTCACACATATGCGGTGCGGTATAGTGCTTGTGATTCGTACAGGAACTGCACCGCATTCCTGTGTAAAATCACATGCAATTTGTGTGCGGTGCGATTGGATTGCACCGCACCAAAAAGGTGCAGGACCC